TTGCCTAAGGTGGGGGTTCGGGTTTCTATATGCGATTGTGTATGCTTTTTTCGGGGATAAAGTGGATGGAAATTTTAATTCCCTGTTATCGAAATGTTGAGGGGGTGGGGTGCTGAGAGGAAGAAAGCTGAAATGGAAGGTTGAGAAAGGGGAGGTTGAGAGTAAAGTTGAGGGTTGAAACGAAAAATTCATTTAGTGTGGATGTTTATAATGGGGGTTTTTTTATTGAACTTTCTAATTATGATTCTTGTTTATTACAACGACACGAATAAAAATTTTTATTATACATATAGTTTCTATACAATAACCCAGTGTGTTACGCAAAAAAGAAAGTAGAATTTTACATTAAAGAATAAAATGAGGTCGTTTAATGAAATACTGATAATAAATGAAGATTAACTTCAGCAAAAGGTTGCTCCTAGAAGCGTCTTAACAACCTTCTACTTGATTTTCAATCTACCATTTGTTGTCTACATTTAATCATCGCTGTTGAACAGAAAATTACCAGGCACCTCGTCAGTAAAGTAAATGATAAAAATAGAACCAAAATACACATCCTTCGGCAAAGTAGAAATTTATGGGCTAATTTAACACGATAGTTAATGTTTGCAAGGATGTTTAGAGCGTAAAACCAGATTGGCCATCTAGGCCAATATAATTTAGATTAAATTTTGCTGCTTGAACTTCACGAGAATCTTCTTGTGATGTATCACGTAATGCGAATATATCTTTTTGACGAAATTCTGCATTATCATCAAAATTAAGTTTTGCATCCATACATAATACTATAATTTTTAATATAAATGTTTGATCAATAAAATGTTCTTTTTTTTTTATTTTAATAAACCTGTCATGAATATTTTGTTATTAGTTTAACCTTCATGTTCGGTAGATTCTGCCACTGGATTAATTTCTACTTGCGTACAGTCTTTTTCTATAAACAACTTGTAGAGTTTTTGCATCATATCAGCAGCCTAAATAGATATCAGGTTAATGAGTTAATTAATTAATTAATTAATGATGATGATAGCTTA